CCGAGGACACAACACAAATTTGCTGGAAAATCATCGACTGAACTGACGAGCTCTTAAAAATGTGACGGAGAATCTGACAGAAACTGAACGAGTGCAACAAAACAACAGTAACACCATCGACTTTCTCCCCGCTGCAGCACAAACACACAACGTCACAGCGTCACAGTGCTTCTGCTGCCTGGTTCTGTCAGTCAGACAGGCCGAGTTTGAGCCGAGAGCAAAGAAAGAAAGAAAAATGCATAAAAAAACAAACCCAAAGCTAACAGAATCCAAACTTCAGGGTTTCCTGCTGCTGTTTTGTTGGAGGTGACGCTGATCTAAACGTAACCAGGGCTGAACCACAGCTCGACACAGTCCTGCTACGTCTGCGCAGGTTTAAGTGCAGCCATCAGCGATGAAGCCTGTAAATCCTCGATCTCTGGAGGCTTAAACGTCACCTGAGTGTTTAATAACACCTCGACTTATTTGCAAATACTGTCACCAACACCTGCTGCCGTGGAGCCCCGAGAGGCCGAATCTGCTGCCTCGACTTTAAACCAATAGAACTGGCAAATGTCAGAGCTGCATTAAACATTCAGACGGTCATTAAATATTAAGAGTCGCTTCACTGGGAGTCGTCAGGAGGTTTAAAGCCTCACAAAATGCAAATTGTCTCTCCTTTCCGAGTTAATGCGGTCAGCAAATGTGAAGGTGTTACTTTCCAGAAGGAGGATCAGAAAGACGAGAGAAACCGCACCACTGAAGCTGAAACACGGGTTCAGCGGTTCAGTGTGAACAGCCATGCTCACAGGTGAAGCGGGAGGGGCTAAAATGGCTCATTATAGACAGTGCTGCACTTAGGCTCAGTATCAGATACACTAGGATTATTATGAACTGTGAATCATGCAAAGCTACTTTAGCAGAGTTACTTACTCAACAAATACCAACAAAGCTTCAATGACGAGTCTCACAAAGGAACTACTTTCTTTCGTCTACATCCGCCACACAAAGAAGGCGTGACGCTAGCTAACGTATAATGGTTCTGCAGTGATGCAGAGGTGAGGGGGCGGAGTCTTTACCCTCTTCATGCGCATGCTGCGTCTCTCGGAGGCGTTTCTGACAAACGGGGACTTCTTGGAGAGCGTGGAGCTGTCGCTGTCACTGCGGTTAATCTGCGAGGACAAAAACGAGCGTTTAACGAGGTCGCGGCGTCACCATCGGCGCAAATCCTGCGTCGGTCTCACTTACCCTGCAGATGTACTGGCTCTGAGGTCCGGGCGAGAAGGTCTTGGAGCGGATGATGGTGTTGCCCCTCATGAAGGGGTTCTGCTGGCGGACGTCCGGGCGCCGCTCTTTGGGCCGAACCACGGAGCAGTGATGCAGCGACGGCAGGCTGTCCATGCTCGTCTCCTTGTTCACCTGTAGGAGAGAACCGCAGCGGTAACGAGGACGCTCGCCGACCGAGGCGCCGTCAGTGTTC